ATAAGGTAAGTGTAAATGTTGTTTTATTGCATAAAAATACTAGATCTATATTATTACAGGTAACTAACTTTATATTATTTTATGTAGTTGTTTAAATCATTTAAATTATAATAGAACATAATAGGATATATATATTAGATAGTAGGATAGTTATATGGTAGAATATTAAGCTTATATAGATATAGAAGTATGTGTAAAGATGAATACAATATATAGATTACTAAGATTTTGTTAATAATACTACAATAATAGTGAGAGTTAAAAAGTCTGTAAATTTAGTTAATAAATAATCTAGACTAATAAATATATGTTAATTTACTTTGTAACAGTGTTTATTGAGACTTATTTTTAAACTTTAGATATAAATTTTTGCTTTATTTTGCTTATTTTTTTTATTTTTTTTATTTTTTGAGATCTACGATTTTATTAGCTGATTTTCATATAATATTACTTCAACATTCATGTAAATCTTTTTGATTGACTAAAAAGATATACAAGATTAGAATATCAATTACTTTATTTAGAAGATATCTAAAGTGGAGACAACTTATATTTGATAATTTTTTTGATTAACTTTAGGGTTAGAATTATCTATATTAGAGTTATATCAGATTTTAGGTAGTTATTTATAAGCAAAATTACCTTTTTGATATTTTTACTTAATCTACCTGAAGTAGATTTAGACTACTATTTTTTGTATTTTTTAGGTTTTTTATTTTTATTTCTTGTTTTACTTCATCATCAAAATTATATAATTTAATTAGCTGTTAATCACATGATTTGCTTCTGCTTTAGACAACTCAGAGTGCTATGATTAGTGAAAAGCAGATTAGCTAGAAGTAAATTAGCTAGAAGGTTTTAACAATAATAATATAAGTATAAGATAGAGAAAGTTTAGAAAGGAATAAGAGATGTTATATAGAATAAGTAGACAATATAAAAAATAAGCTTCATTAATGATTAGTAATTATTAATTTTTAATATATTCAGCAGAGTTTAGTAGAGTTTGCTTATCTATTCTATTGAGGTGTAACACTCAATATGATTTACAAACATAGTACAGCACAATATGATTAGCACACTAATTAAAATTTTTGAAATTTTGTTAATCATTTTTTTTGAAAAATTTATATAGTAATTTTATTATAAAATCTGTATATTTTTAAAATATTCTAACTATTGTTCTAATAAAAAAATTTAATTTTGTAATTTGTAAATAGTATATTGATAGTATAGCTTTAAATCTATATAAAGATATTTTCTAATTTATTGTATTAATTTATTTAAAATTATAAATAAATAAATTTTCATAGTAAAATATTCATTATTTGTATGTTTAAACTATAGAGATCTCTAAAATTCATATATTAATATAAAATAAGACTATATAGATTTAAAATTATGTTTAGTTATCATTTACAAGTTTCAGAATTTAATTTGCTTTGCTAAAACATGAGTTAGAACATTTTAAAGATCAAATTTTCATAACAATTTCCAAAATTATATAATAAACTCAGAGTATTTGCTTTGAATTACAGAAATATGAGTATATATAAAGTCTTATTTTAAAGTTAAATAATAGGATTTTTTAATGTTTCTTATACACCTTAATGTTAGTTTATTCTTTAACTAGGTTGATAAAATAAAATTAACTAGATAAACTTTCTAGACAAATTAGCAAAATTTAAAGAATAAATATATATTGACTTCAAGAAATTTTTGCATAGCATTATTTTGAATTTTTACATTGTTTTAAGGAATATTTTTTTTAAAAAAAATTTTTTTTTTATTCTAATTTGATAATATTTAATGAATCTACTCTTACTTTGCTAAGAATTTTTATATTATTATAATTAACATACTTAATATAATAAAGTTAATACAAATTCTTTCTCAATTAAATGACTTTATTATAATGAGAGTTTTTGTATTTTGAAATAAAATGAATTTTTATTACTGAAAGTAAAGTTTCTAATACAATTATATTAAAATAACTCACTAAAATAATAAAAGAAAACACTTAATAAAAGTTACTAAAGATTGTAAATTGAAAAAACAATATTCTAATATTTGCAAAACTATAGACTTTTTGAATAACAAGATACTAGTAAAAGTTCAAAATTTTATTAATTCTATAAACTCCTAACAACCAAACCTCTACAAGCTAATTGATTCTTTGAATCAAGAAGAATTAATAAACATATAAAATTATATTAATTCAATTAGTTCCTAACAGCAAAGTATTATTGAAAAGAAGCTTAATACAATAATTAACAAAATAAAAATTTTATCAGATAATTCTAAAACTTGAAAGTTTATTAAATACTATGATATATTCTAAAGACAAAACTAAGATAAAAATACTATTACTATATTTACAAAATAAAGTAGCTGAATTTATAGCTAGTAGTTTTTTTAAACAGTATTTGTTCGCTTCTGCTCTACAAAATAAAATAAGAAGATTAGAATCTGAAAACCAAAAATTAGCAAGATTATTAGAAAAGTCAAATAAAGAATATAAATTTTTTAGCATAAAAATCATACAAGTAAAGGATGCAAAGCAAAAATATATTTCTAAAATTTGGTCTATTGCTCAGAAATTAAAAAAAATCACAAAAAATCAGCAGTAAAAAAAATGATAAAAAAAAATAATAACAAATATTTATCTGAATTTGTTAGGCTTACTACTACTTAAGTAATATTAAAACAATTTCTTTTTTAGTAGTAGTAGAATATACTAAAGTAATAGTTACTTTTCTTATCAAGAAAACACTAGACTATTAGCTATCAACAGAAACTCTTTCTTAGTAGAATAAAAAAGTTGCTAAAATATTACTTTATCAAAATTAGCTAGAAAACTCATATTCAACTTCTTATTTGTATAATATAATAGTCAATGAGAATACAAGAGAAGATAAAAAAATGTTTTTAGTTTGTTTTTTATATTGAGATGCATATAAAAATCAACTAATGATTACTCTTAAAAAATAGTAGACTTAAATAAATATAATAGAGCTATAGTAACCAAAATAGTAAAATAACTTGTAAAGAAAATAACTTAGATTCAAAACAGTGTTAGTTTTGACTTACTGATAATATGAGATACATATCAGGAAATAAGTCTGATGCTGTTGTAAAATTTAATTTACAAGCAAATATATTCTCATTCAGAATTCTGTATAGTCTACATGTACTCTAAATAGTTTTAATTAACTTTGAAAATATAACATTTGAAAAATTAAATACTATATCAAGACTATTTTTACAAGAATATCTCTATAATCTTCTTCAACTTATTTACTATTTATATGATAGTTATAGTAAAAGTAATAAGAATTGTTTATTAAATATGAAATCAAATATGATATATAAACTATATTAGATACTTCTAAAATATAACTTATCTAAATATTAAAAAACTATCTCAAGTCAATGATGATATTAATTAATAACTATAAGTCAATATTTACAAAATTATAATATTCATAGTTATTTTATAACTTAGTTTATTAAACTATTTAATAAATTTAAAAATATATCTGAAGAATATATAAATAATAGAAAGTCTTAAATGATTGAATAAACAATGCAAAGCTTAATCTTCAAATAAAATTTATAATACAATTCAGCAACTTTTTTTATTTAAAATTTTTTGAATTTCTAACTAGATTTAATAACATATCTCAAGTATTAGAAAATAATACATTCAAATACCTTCCTCCTAGATATTATGCATATAAACTTACTGATAAAGTTTTATTTTGGCTCAGTGAATTGCAAAGTATAATTAATAATCTCTATATTATTTTAAAAAACAAATTATTAAAGCATATTCAAATTTATATAATCAGGAACTTATTGCTTTAATAAACAATATAAAATCTGGTTTAGAAAAAACTCAGAACAGATTTTTAAAATAGATAGATTGCTGAATTCACTTACCCTTAACAATATGTCTATTGGATAGAAGTAATAGTCCTGATTTTACTTGAAGTATTTGCTAGGTTTTTTTGAACTGACTATTAAATATTGAACTGATGAAAAAAGAACTTCAATATACCAAATTACTAAAAAAAGACAAGTTAGAAGGAAATATTCAGTTATTTGGTTTATTTAATACATTGAGAGATTCACAATTTTTAGAACAATTTCTTATCTTCTCAACTTCTAATTCACAAGACCTTTCTAAATTTCCTTTAATATATAACTTTGTTAAATATAAAATTTGGTCAATTATAGTTCATCAACAGCAACTAGAAGGAATGTTTAATAGATATGATATCAAAACTCATCCTAATATAGCTGACGAATTACAAGAAGCAAGACTACTTCTCTGTAGTCCAAGTAAACCAGAAGTAAGATTGGCTTGTAAAGATTTAATAGCTATTTGAAAAGAGTGATGAAGTAAAACGACTAAAAAAAACAAGAAAAAGCTTGGTGAGGTAGCTGCTAAAGATATTTTAAAAGAGTTTTTAAAAAAATAATAAATTAATTCTTTAATAAAGAATAACGATAAATGCGATAAATGCGTTTTGAAAAAAAAAATCAGTTATAACGTCCCAAAGATCTATCCGGAGATTGTTAAATTTCCCAATATAAAATCCTATCAATTTGATTTTATTATATATATGAACTATGTTTGTAAATCATTTGGCGTGTAACACCCCACTATTCTATAGAACATCCATAAAAAGAATAGTAGTTGCACAATCCCAAAGCCTCTTATGTCGCTCAAAGTTTTAGACATTATAAAAGAGCTGTAGTTTCGCCTTTGTAAAGAAGTAAGTTCCTTAGGAACAATAATAAATTAATAAAATAATAATAATAATTACTTAATCCCTACCCTGCATAACGATTTAACTTGTATTAAAACTCCTTAAATCCTTAAACATAATTATAAGATAAATCACCATTGTCACGCCTCTGGCGAGTTATCTTATTATATGATTCTAAGTTTTCTTATATTTAGAAAAATAAAAACGTACATTTCACCCCGTAACATGTCTAACTTTACAACCTTCGTCAATATTGGTGGCTCTAACATTCCTATCACTGCCACACAACAAAACATAGAGGTCGCGTCAGTCATTAAATTTAAGCCTTTTGAAGATTGGGTTTCTAGTTTATCCAAAGAAATTTTTGCTGTAGATAAGAAAGAACTTGAAATTAATAAAATCGAAATTCAAAATGTCGATTTTTTTGGTCCAAAAATTGGATTCATTAAATTCAAAGTAGGCGCAAAACTTATTGAAAATGGAAAAAGTGTACCTGGAATTGTTTTTATGGTTATTTTTATTTTATTTATTTTTTTATAAAAATATAACCAAAAAAAAAAAGATCGTATATAGTATTTATATCGGATTTTCAACACGAATTTAAATCCAATTAGAATTATTTATTTAATTATTTAGAGAGGTGGCTCAGTTGCGATATTGTTAATTCTTCGATCTAAAGGTCCATATGATCAAACTTTAAAGGAGCATGTTGTTATTACTTATCAACCACGCTTGCCCGTCCCGTCATTAAATTTTCCTGAGATACCTGCAGGTATATTTAAATAAAAATAAATTTTACATTTCCCGCTTGCATATTGAAGATAATTTTTACAAAGAAGATTCGATAATATGAAATTTTTCATCCCATCGTGCAATCCTTACACTTTTATTTCGGCAATAGGAATGCTCGATGGGTCAGGCAATTTCGTCGGAAAAGCTAGTGAAGAAATTAAAGAAGAAACAGGTATTGAAATAAAAGATCAAGATCTTATCGATTTGACGGAATTGGCTTATGGAGATAAGTACAAAGGTGCATATCCATCACCCGGTGGCTGCGATGAATTCTTAAGATTATGTTTATGTGTTAAGGAGATGGACCATAAGGATGTTAAAAGCTTAGAAGGTAAACTTTGTGGATTACGAGATCACGGTGAAAGCATTAAAGTTGGGTTGGTGGAATTAGATCATCTATGGAAAATTCCCGATATGAAGGCATTATCGGCCCTAACTTTGTATGATGTCTTAAAAAAGAACGGTAAACTTTAAAAATATCAAGTAAGGTAAATAGAAAATATTAATAAATTGCCAAATTTAAAGTGTTAATATTTTTGAAGTAAAAATTTTTTTTTTGTTTATTAGAGATGGTATCCTTTATCCGTATCCGCTTATCTATGTTCAATTTCAGATAACCGGACAAAATTTACGAGTATTTTAATTATAAAATATAACTTTATTTTATTTACAGGGTTGTCACGTTTACTATGTTTCTTCTATTGGTGCATAATTCTATTCACTTTTTTATTTTTCTATTAAGAATTTGCAGTATAAAACTTTATTAATTAAATATAAAAATATTTTAAATTTATTATTTTATTAATGTTCTAACAATATATATTTAAATAATTACAAATTATTAATTAAAATTTTTTTTTTTATATTGAGACAAAAAATTGAGCTTTTATTTTATTGTTCTATTTGCCAACACTGTTTATTTAGTTTTTTTTGTTAGAAGAATTTTATTAGATTTAGTATATGAAATTATACAAGAATGTTTTTATTAGTACTTGTTATTGGTTATATTGTAGGTGATAATCAGATTTGTCAGTTACATTTTAACTACATAACAAGTTATTTATTTTGCATCTCTGATTATACAAAATAATAAGTATAATTTAATTTTATCATCAACTCTTCTCAACGATCATCTGTATCATTTTTTTCCACAAAACTGAACTGTAAATTTATAGTTAATATAGCAAGAGTAACTACAAAACTTCTCTATAGCGATTAAGAACAAGAGTTTCAAT